GCTGCAGCAAAGAGGATCCAGGGAGCGAGGGGCCAGGAGGGGAGACAAGTTGGAGGGGAAGGTTGATGCAGCTGCCCCAGCAGCAGCAGCAGCAGCGGCTGCGGCAGCCACCAAAACCGTGATGCTTAATGGCACCGACTAGAGGAGAGATACAGAGAGAAAAGAGAGAGAGAGATGAAACAAAAGATGACATTGTAATTCAAACCGTTGTTGCAGTTGTTTTTCACCCCTGAAATTTCCATCTTTGAGAAATGCAGTACGAAGGTGAACCCTGCAAGAAAAAAAACCGAGCCATTGGTTTTTAAGACGTGTCCGTTTTTTTGTACTTCTAAAAAAAAAAAAGTTGTTTTTTTAAATTGAAACAAGCAATCCACGTGAGGAGTGCCTTGTGGAGGAAAAAAAATAAGTATATAAGGAATTAATATACAGATGTATATTGTTAAGAAACTACTACTAATAAATTAACAAGTAGGGGGGATGTAGGCTGGCATTTCGGCGATGCTGCTTCGTTATGGGACGTGCGAAGAAATAAAAACAAAACCTTTGTCGCGGGGAAAAGTGACGCTCAAGAAGGACTTTGTAAAAAAAAAATGTGCTGTATGATGTTGCATGTTACATTTCTCATTCTATCCGGCACGGTGTTTTTGTTACCTTTCGGGGGGGGCGGCGGCGGCGGCGGCATGGACGGACGGACGGGGGGGGGGCGGGGAACGCGGCCTCTTGTGGATGCTGAGATTGCGAACGACGACATTTTATGTGACAGTTGTAAAGCGAAAGGCCCGCGCACACGCACGGTCAAGTTGCAAGAGGAGGGTGGTACGCTGGAGAGAGAGTTTCGTGCGGGGCGGACTTGTTGCGGTTTTTTGCGCCAGGATTTTGTTTCGCACCCCCCCCTCCGCCCCCCCCCCCCCCCACTCTTTCTTAACGGGGGACGACGGAGGAAGAGAGGAGGACGGATCGCCCGCCGACTTTGCTGGTCTTCACCCGCCCCGGGTCGGAAGAGAGAGAGAGAGAGAGAGTCTCTCGTTGAGGTGTTGAGGTGGTCGGCCATGAAACGATGAGCTTATGGGGGAGTTCTGGTGGCACGTGGGGGGGGGGGGGGTTAGCGCGTTGTAACAGTAAGAACGACGAGCATTGACGGGGAACGAACGAGAGCTTTGAAAATCGCGTGACGCGTGATTCTGTCCCTGACGTTTTGGTTTTTTTTTGTCAACTGTTATTGAGAATTAAATTACATTGCTTTTTAAAACCAAACTGAGCGTTTTTCAGTCGTTTTTTTTCTCCTCTTCGCACAAAATGTGGACGGATCGATTTGGTGGCGGGTTTTTTTTGTTTTCGTTTTACAATCGGCAAGTGAAAAAGTAAAAAAAGAAAGCAAAGCAAAGCAAGCGGCTTCGTGGGAGCGAGCTTTGCCCCGGTGTGCTCGTACCTGACGCACGGGGGTGGTGGTGAGTTTCGGGGGTTCGTGACGCAGACTCCGGCACAGAAGTTCGCGGTTCGAATCCAGCGACCACCCTGCGTAATACTTTAATACTGTGGAGTGCGTTCACCATAAAGGGCACGCGCCGTCTCCTTCGCAGTGCACGCAAAAGCATCCCGTGATTTCGTTCGCCAAGAGCATGCCGTGGTGTGCTGGTGGTCTGAATGAAATATGGAAAAAAATTGACCCGCTAATTACTAAATTGCGATTACACCCAGCAATTAATTGCAAAAACTTGGCAGGAAACTTCTGAAAACGAGTCGTGGAGACTGGGCGAGGCTTTCCTGGGTGATGGAGCATCCTAAATAAACTTTTTCCTGCCTTCTCCAACAGCTGTGATACTGCTACTGCTGTGCGATGATTTATTTTATTTGGTTAATTTCCAAAGTGCAGGCTGCTGTACAGTGGCAGTCATAGAAGCTGCAAACTCTGAAATTACAGACCAATAATTGTTTCCACTGAAATAGTTACACAAATTGGCTCTTAAACACATCTAAAATTCAACAAGTTAACTTTAAAAGGAGGTTTTCGTTGCCAATAAAATTGATCCATTTGTTGGTTTTGTGCCAAATATCCTGTCAACTTTCCTCCACAAGACTGTCCAGATTACAAAGATATATATGCAATAAAAATTATTCGTTGAAATAAGAATTTTTTTTTTTATATAAACGTGACAATCGTGTCGATTAGCACGGTTGGCTACGTAGGGCGTTGGAAGAAGTTCAAAATACATGACGAGGATTCTGGCGTGAAACTGCCGCCAGGTAACCCAAGCCAAGAGCACGTGGATCAAGTAACGCGATTGTAAGGACACATACTTTTTTTTTGCCTTTTCAGAATCCTTCATACTGGAGGAATCCGATGAACTCTAAAACTATTTTCCACATGTCCATTCGGGGCGCTGAGCGTTACAACAACAAACAGTACAAAAACATGGTTGCAGTTCAAAGTACAAGAAAGGTAAAAAAAATCTCCCAAACGCAGACAATACTAAACCATCTCCATCCTACCAGGCAAAGCCCACTGAGGTATTCATTTATTTTTCAAAAGCCACCTGGCCACAAATAGCTCTGCAAAGTGTAATTTATCATTTAGACATACGCACGAATGCTATCTATTAACATTCGGTAACGGAATCGATTCCAAGAATACCATGAGCTTTACACGAGAGGAAAGTGTTTGTGAATTACACCCAATTCCCATTACGCTTATCACTATTACCGGTGTGTTTAATACCTGGACAGTTAAATGTTTACATTTTATATATATAGATTTCATTTCAGCCTGGCCACCATCCAGTGTTGGTTGAGCCTGGTTCGTGCTGGGACAGGTGACCACCATCAGAGCTGCCACGTGATGTAGGCACGGGGCTGCAAGTTTGGGCCATTAGATGGTCGGACCGAGCGTCACCTGCCCACGTATACTAAACTAAACTTTTTTATTTCACCAGGTATGGCTTATTTAACTATATAGCTCTTTTTTCAGAAGCGACCTGGTTATCGTAAATGATCACTCAAAGAAAGAAGTGGCTTATCGTGTGATGTGTTTTAGTAGTAGCCAAACACTAAGCGCGTGATGTTGATGCTAAATGTGGAGGGGGGGAGCGGAGGACCCGAAGAAAAAATTAACGCAACCACGGTGGAGAGAGACACGCAAACCCCAAATATACAGCAGCAGGCGTCAGGGTCGGGATCGAACCCATCACCTCCTGCATACCAGGCGAGGTAGTTAACATCTCATAGCCACCGTGATGATTATGATGACAGAGAAAGAGACGCAAACTCCAAATATACAGCAGCAGGCGTCAAGGTCGGGATCGAACCCACGACCTCCTGCATACCAGGCGGATTATCCAGTTTCATCCCGCACAAAGCCAGTAACAACGTTCGATCAACGTTGGTATAACGGTTTCGACTCGATGCCGACTTGGGCCAAACGTCGCGTGTTTATTGGGCAAACTCTCATCCGTGGAATCGGCCCCGAAATAGGCCCTTCTGAAAGAAAGAAAAATAAAACGGTCCTCGGTCTCCCGTGAGACTAACATCGGTGAACAACTCTACCATATCGCTATTGTGGGTGAGCGTTAATCAAATGTCCTCGAAAAGGTAGCAGCGCATGCAGATATGATCAACGAGGGCACTTTTCAGAATTGGTTCGCCCACGTTTTGCCCCCCAACTCTGTCCGTCGACATCCGTGACCCCTGTGCCATCGCGGTCGTTGCCGCTATTTGAGGTGGATTCGCTGATGCCCATGATGTCATCGGGTGGCTTGGAGATGTTAATTGCCTCGCCTGGTGTATACAGGAGGTCGTGGATTCGATCCCGACCCAGACACGTGCTGTATATTGATTGTTGTTGCCATCTTGTTCCGGTGGTCACGTAGATTCGTCTCCGGTTCAGAAACTTGGCTGCTATAAATGTCCACTTTGAAAGCCACTCCGTCGAGCCATCATTTGTGGTCAGGTCGCTTCTGAAGAAGGAGCTGTGCAGCTCGGTGGGCCTTACCTGGTAAAAGAAAAAAAGATGGTTTAGTTTAAAGGTCAGCAAAACAAAGGACTTGCAATCTCGGGGGTTGTCCGTTCGATTTCATCTCCGGGCAGGGCTCTAAACGGTGGCGTTTTCTTAAATGTCACCCCCACGCCTCTGTTAACCGAGCAGTATTTTTGGTTGCACCTAAGTTAGGCTATCGGTAGTCTGCGTGTGGTAGAGGTATTATTGTTGGTAATCCCACCTCTTCTGGAACCGCATTCGTAAGTCTGCGAGAAGCCGTAAAAAAAAACACGAAAATAAGAATTCACGTGAACAACAAGCGCCTGAATACTCATCCGTCGAATGACGGAACAATTCAGGCAGACTCCCACCTGGACAACGTGGAAGAGAAGGCCAAGCACCTTCTAGAGGGGCTCTCTAGAAACTCCGTCGAGTACTGGTCCTTCCGCCAGCAGTGGCTTGGAGCAAGTAATTGCAGGGTTGCACCTTTATATATGTTTTCGTGTGTGCGTGTAGGCCGATGATGATTCGACCGCACTTCATGTGCGCTAGGGTTTTTTTCTCCTCCAATTATCCGTGGTTGATGCCCCCCTTCTCTCTCTTTTAATGTACATGGGAGATTAATTATTGTCGTCTTCATTCAGCACATTCACCCGTGGACTTACGAGATTTTTTTAACATTCACCCGTGGACTTACGAGATTTTTTTAATCTTTGTTATCATTGAGAAAAAATATATAGCGTAACCAAAACAAGGTGGTGGGTGGGGGGGGTAACGTGATTGTATAAAATATCATGCGTGAGCGTTTCCCAATTTAAAAAAAATATATACATTAAGGCCCAACAACAAGGAAACAACGCAAAGGGCTGAACAGGGTGGGCACACACAAATTCAGAGAGCGCGCGCGCACGTTTCACTCGATTCTGTGTCCTAAGGACGTTTTCTGAACTGGCGGGATGAACCGACGGACAGCAGCAGCAGCTGTAGCTGCAGCAGCTGCTGCAGATGCTGCTGCTGCGTGTGTTCCTGCTGTTTGTTTGTGCGAGTAGCCGGCACGGCAGGGCACAGAGGACAATGTTTACTTTGATGTTGATCGGCCACAAAATGTTTTATAAAAAAAAATCGGTTTACTGACCCCCCTCCCTCCCACGTCCTCTTGCGCAAAATAAAGAAATAATGCATTTTGGGGTTTTAAACAAACAACAAGCGGAGAGTTTTCTAACCCCTTCCTCCCTCCCCCCCCCCATCATCATCGTTTCACGGAATTTTTTTTTAAAATGTCGGCCAGCGTTCTGCTGCTGCTGCTTTGCCTTCTTCATCCCTGTATGGGCAGGACCTCTTCCTCCTCCTCCTCGTCGTCGTCGTCCTCGCCGAGTAAGTGACCCCGCGGCGACTGTGGTCACCTCTTCGCTCGGGGCTTTTCACGTTCGTTGCCGTGTCGGCTCTGACGCGGGTCACGACCCCCTTTTGTGTGAAACTTTGCAATGGAAAAACCAGTATAGTGATGGAGGGGGGGGGGGGTAGCTGATATAGTGATGGAGGGGGGTAGTAGCTGGTATAGTGATGGAGGGGGGGGGGTAGTAGCTGGTATAGTGATGGGGGGGGGTAGATGGTATAGTGATGGAGGGGGGGGGTAGATGGTATAGTGATGGAGGGGGGGTAGTAGCTGGTATAGTGATGGAGGGGGGGTAGTAGCTGGTATAGTGATGGAGGGGGGGGGTAGATGGTATAGTGATGGAGGGGGGGGTAGATGGTATAGTGATGGAGGGGGGGGGGTAGATGGTATAGTGATGGAGGGGGGGGGGGTAGATGGTATAGTGATGGAGGGGGGGTAGTAGCTGGTATAGTGATGGAGGGGGGGTAGCTGGTATAGTGATGGAGGGGGGGGTAGTAGCTGGTATAGTGATGGAGGGGGGGTAGTAGCTGGTATAGTGATGGAGGGGGGGGGGGGTAGATGGTATAGTGATGGAGGGGGGGGGGGGTAGATGGTATAGTGATGGAGGGGGGGTAGCTGGTATAGTGATGGAGGGGGGGGGGGGTAGATGGTATAGTGATGGAGGGGGGGTAGTAGCTGGTATAGTGATGGAGGGGGGGGGGTAGCTGGTATAGTGATGGAGGGGGGGGTAGCTGGTATAGTGATGGAGGGGGGGGGTAGCTAGTATAGTGATGGAGGGGGGGGGGTAGTAGCTGGTATAATGATGGAGGGGGGGTAGCTGGTATAGTGATGGAGGGGGGGGGGGTAGCTGGTATAGTGATGGAGGGGGGGGGGTAGCTGGTATAGTGATGGAGGGGGGGGGGTAGGTGGTATAGTGATGGAGGGGGGGGGTAGCTGGTATAGTGATGTAGGGGGGGGGGGGTAGCTGGTATAGTGATGGAGGGGGGGTAGTAGCTGGTATAGTGATGGGGGGGGGGTAGCTGATATAGTGATGGAGGGGGGGTAGTAGCTGTTATAGTGATGGAGGGGGGGGGGGGGTAGCTGGTATAGTGATGGAGGGGGGTAGTAGCTGGTATAGTGATGGAGGGGGGGGGTAGCTAGTATAGTCATAGAGGGGGGGGGGTAGCTAGTATAGTGATGGAGGGGGGGGGGGTAGTAGCTGGTATAATGATGGAGGGGGGGTAGCTGGTATAGTGATGGAGGGGGGGGGTAGCTGGTATAGTGATGGAGGGGGGGGGGGGTAGCTGGTATAGTGATGGAGGGGGGGGGTAGGTGGTATAGTGATGGAGGGGGGGTAGCTGGTATAGTGATGGAGGGGGGGGGTAGCTGGTATAGTGATGTAGGGGGGGGGGGTAGTAGCTGTTATAGTGATGGAGGGGGGGTAGTAGCTGGTATAGTGATGGAGGGGGGGGGGTAGCTGATATAGTGATGGAGGGGGGGGTAGTAGCTGTTATAGTGATGGAGAGGGGGGGGGTGGTAGCTGGTATAGTGATGGAGGGGGGGTAGTAGCTGTATAGTGATGGAGGGGGGGTAGTAGCTGGTATAGTGATGGAGGGGGGGTAGCTGGTATAGTGATGGAGGGGGGGTAGTAGCTGGTATAGTGATGGAGGGGGGGTTAGTAGCTGGCATGGTGATGGGGGGGGGTAGCTGGTATAGTGATGGAGGGGGGGGTAGCTGGTATAGTGATGGAGGGGGGGGGTAGCTGGTATAGTGATGGAGGGGGGGTAGCTGGTATAGTGATGGAGGGGGGGGGTAGCTGGTATAGTGATGGAGGGGGGGTAGCTGGTATAGTGATGGAGGGGGGGGTAGCTGGTATAGTGATGGAGGGGGGGGGGGTAGCTGGTATAGTGATGGAGGGGGGGGGGGTAGCTGGTATAGTGATGGAGGGGGGGGGTAGCTGGTATAGTGGTGGAGGGGGGGGGGGTAGCTGGTATAGTGATGGAGGGGGGGGGTAGTAGCTGGTATAGTGATGGGGGGGGGTAGCTGGTATAGTGATGGAGGGGGGGGGGGTAGCTGGTATAGTGATGGGGGGGGGTAGCTGGTATAGTGATGGAGGGGGGGGGTAGCTGGTATAGTGATGGGGGGGGGTAGCTGGTATATGATGGAGGGGGGGGGGTAGTAGCTGGTATAGTGATGGAGGGGGGGGTAGCTGGTATAGTGATGGAGGGGGGGGTAGCTGGTATAGTGATGGAGGGGGGGGGTAGCTGGTATAGTGATGGAGGGGGGGGCGGTAGCTGGTATAGTGATGGAGGGGGGGGGGGGTAGCTGGTATAGTGATGGGGGGGGGTAGCTGGTATAGTGATGGAGGGGGGGGTAGCTGGTATAATGATGGAGGGGGGGTAGCTGGTATAGTGATGGAGGGGGGGGGGGGTAGCTGGTATAGTGATGGAGGGGGGGGGGGTAGCTGGTATAGTGATGGGGGGGGTAGCTGGTATAGTGATGGAGGGGGGGGTAGCTGGTATAATGATGGAGGGGGGGGTAGCTGGTATAATGATGGAGGGGGGGTAGCTGGTATAGTGATGGAGGGGGGGGGGTAGCTGGTATAGTGATGGAGGGGGGGGTAGCTGGTATAGTGATGGAGGGGGGGGGGTAGCTGGTATAGTGGTGGAGGGGGGGTAGCTGGTATAGTGATGGTGGGGGGGGGGTAGCTGGTATAGTGATGGAGGGGGGGGGGTAGCTGGTATAGTGATGGAGGGGGGGGGTAGTAGCTCGTATAGTGATGGAGGGGGGGTAGTAGCTGACATGGTGATGGAGGGGGGGGGTAGCTGGTATAGTGATGTAGGGGGGGGGGTAGTAGCTGGTATAGTGATGGAGGGGGGGTAGTAGCTGGTATAGTGATGGAGGCGGGGGGGGGTTAGCCGGTATAGTGATGGAGGGGGGTGTTGTATATGCCGGGTATTTTAAATGTAATAAAAATAATAAAAAAATGAAATTGGGAAATAGCGTAATTATCCAAAATTATGTTAATGTATGTAATTACGCGCACAAATTATGCTAATTAGAAATACAATCGCATTGATTTGTGCAAATACGTGCGATTATGCTAATGCACACCCTTATGATAATAAAGCTCAACCTCGTTGTTGAGGGTAGTATTATCAATCGGGATAAGACTATTAATAGTATGAAGTTATGCAGGTGTGCTGTAAGTATGCTAGATTAAGCTCGGCTTCGTTGTCAAGGTTCGTATTATCAATCGGTATAATACAATTATTCTCACTTTAACATTTACTGATTATGTCTTAGTGTTTTTATGTCAGGTCTCCAAATTCAAATCTCACCGCAGGATACAGTTCTCATAATTAAGATTATTACGCATGAACTTAGGAAGGCACCACTCAGACACTTCTGTGTTAAGCAACTTTCATTTCTAAACAAAAACATAACACTCTAATATGCGAACTCTTATGCTTGGAATTGTCAACACAGTACTCCTTGAGATGTTCTCCTCGTGGATCCATACATTTAACCCCCATTGATCACGTTTGTTAACTGGGTAACAGTACAATCGATTATTCCTCAGAGTACTCGAGCATACACGGCGAGAGGAAAGTCCTTAAAAATTCATGCAACGATATTCATACGAAGGGCAATAAACAACCATGTCCCGAAGGCAAAACGTACACGGAAATGAATTCATGGGCAAGATTATGCAATTAACAAAAATGAATGACTAAAAATACTTCTACAATCGTATTCATGTAACTTGACGGGCGGCAATGTTCTGCACGATCAGTTGATATTTAACGCACCACCTTGGAATGGCAACCCTTCGTGAAACACAAAGATAACTTTTTCGAACAATATTATTTGTCCCGGTATGCGTGTTGTGTGTCTTCTTTGCCACTTGTTCAATTCTTTGCGTAAAGCAGACGCCGGGCGATGCGTCGTGAGGGTGCGAGTGTGGGGGAGGGTCGTACAAACGGCTTCGTTCTCTCTCTTGTTCGGGGGCGGCCACAGTTTCTGTCCACAGCTGGGTGGAAGAGTCGGCACGACGCTCGCCGTCGGCGCGCGATGATCTCGTCGTCAGATAGCGCCCGCAGCCCGTCCGCTGGTCGCCGTTCCTCGCTCTTGTCTCGGCTCCCAGCTGGTGCTGGTCGGTGCGCGTGTGGGTCGGACCCACGGCGCTCTCGCTGGCGCTGACACTCTTCCTCACGGGCGGCTGGTCAGGCTCTTTCCCCTGCTCCGTGCTCTCTCCTTCACCGTGCAGTTGCCAGCTTCCACACGGACAGGGCTGCGCTGGCTCTCGGGCTCTTTCCACTGCTCCGTTCTCTCTGGCGATGCACGATGGCTTCCGTCGCTCATCCGCTGCTGCTGGTCCTCTGCGATGCTCGCTTGGTCGACGCTTGGCGCTTTCCGCCCTCTCTCCGGGTTGATTGCTTGCCGTCGCTCGGCACTCTTTCTCTCTCTCATTTCTCTTGCTCTCTCCTTGATCGTGCAGCTGCCAGCTTCACACGGACACCCGCCCCTTACTTCACGGCTGCGCTTTGTCGTTGCTCAACTTTCGTGCTCTTCGCCCTTCTTCCACGAGGGCTCTTGCTGTGAGCTGCTCGTCGCTGGCTGGATCACTCACTCTCAAAACTTGAAAATTGTATTTGCACGCCTCTTACACAACTCTGATAGCTTAGGACGATACAGCTTACCGCAATCCTCGATTCTGCAAGCGGCTCAAAACATCGGACTGAATGTAGAATAAAACTTTTCAGCGATACTCTGTGGGTTCATGCCGAACTCGGCTCTTAACAACACATCGTCCCTTCTCTCTGTGAGACACGACACCCATGGTTGATCTCGAGACCATGCCCCGGAGCCAGCCTGCCCCTTAGCAAGACTCTGTCGTTCGCAGCACTCTTGCTTTGCAGAGCTGTCCCTTGCCGAGCTTAAATGTGAAATTCTCTCTCTCCTCTCTCCGCGTCTCTTGCGAGAGAGAAAAAAGAAC